TTTTTTTTTTTTTTTTTCTTACAAATAAGTATTTGGTAGTTTGGGGGCTTTATTTTTCAGTCAAGCATATAACCAATCACCATTTTATAGTAACAGCTACTTCATTTGCTAGAGCTTCTGGAAGCTCTTTTTGCATGTGTACACTGCAGCAATGTCATGAAACAAGACCTAAAATAAAAGCTGTCCATATATGTTAGGCAGACAAATCCACACTGCTTTCCCCTGTATGGTGGTATATTAGCAGCTATGCTGCCTTCTAGGTCCCCTCTCCCTGTTGCTTTTAAATGACTGTTAGTTCAGGACACCTCTGGATACTGCCAGCATGTAACTGTAGGACAAAGGGACACTGACTACTCTAATGTTCCCACTGTAGTGAGATTCTTTGCTGCATTCAGTGGTGCTACAGAGAACACACGTGACAACTTTTACTAGAGGTTTCCTTGCCATGGGTGCTATCATGTGTAGGACCTATGCATTGGTAAATGTTGTGATGGTAGCACTTGCAAAGAACGGTTGTTAAACCTGCTGAAACACAAAATGTGCAACTTGTGTTAAACCACTGCGTGTTCACAAGGCCTGAGGTGTTTGTACAATATTTAGTGCTAGATATGTTTAAATGTTGTGGTGTATTCCTCTAATGGGAATTGTCTGCTGGCTGAGATGTTACTGAGAAACAGCTATAATCAGGGTTTTGTATTGAGTATTTCTGGTCAGTTAATATTGCTCAGTTGCCCTTTTACTGATTTCAACTATATTCATGTCTTCAGGGACCTGAAGCCAGACAATATGCTTATTTCTAATCAGGGCCATATAAAGTTGACAGACTTTGGGCTTTCCAGAGTTACTCTGAACAGAGGTAAGAGTTGTGTGTGTCCTTCTGGCTGTATTAGAATGTATTTTTGTGTTACATTCCTGTAATCTTGAATGCTTTACATCCCTGTAGAGGACAGCTTTCAATTAAATAAGCCCAAATGTTGCACTAATATCTGATTTCTAATTTGTATGTCCTGATAAGGTACATGCTATTAAAGGGTCTGCTCTGTGCACTACACTTCAGAAACCAAAATATTCTTTGGGACAAGGGTGTATGAAATATTATCAAGAGCCATTTCTCTTGAAGGGTATAGATTTAAAGTTTTCTGTGAAATCCACTAAGAATTCCAAAAGACGAATGAATAATTCTGGCTATTTCTGTCCTTCAGTTCATGTTTTTCTGTCCTTCTGTACATTAACTTCCAACCTGGGCTGGGACCTTCCAGACACTAATGTAAAGGACAGGGGGAGGTGTTGTGTCCTGAACAGAAGATTATAAATCATACAAGCATAGTGTTTTCAAGTAGCAGAAAATAGAGCTGAATAGTCAAATGACTGGCACAGGTGATAGGCTGCAGGTCTTAAGGTGAATAGCCAGCTCCTGAACTAGTTTGCACCTCCAACTCCTTAACCATATCAGCCAAACAGCACCAGCTTAGCTTTTTCAGACAGCTGGTGATGAGTACAGCCTTTTTATATAGTTAAAGGAATGGAGAAATTCAGAGTTGTCTATGGATTTTCTGATTCATGGCTTTAAGAGTATAGAGGAAAATACTAAGTATACTGTATTTTCTATAATACTGCTTTGATAAGCTCTGATGGGGCAGATTATTGTGTCCAGCTGAACCTATGTAAGCTGTAAGCCTACTTACCACTAGTGAGCAATAAATGGCATCTAAGGTTAAATCTTCACTTATGAAAAATTTGTAGGTTTTTTGAGATGTCTTTGGGAGAGAAGACAGGCTTTGAATCAAATTTACCATCTTGGCCAACAGGCCATTGGCTGGAATTGCTGCCTGAAAACCAAAGCTGGTATCAAATTAAAAAATGTAACACTTGCAACATAGTATGTTGGAAAATAAACTAGACTCTTACAGTTTCTATATATAAATTTTATATATAAAAATTATTATATTTATAAAATTAAAATATAATAATAATTTTCTATATAAATTTTATGATGGCTGTATAGGAAGAAACACCTATACAAGAATGTATGGGTATGTCTCACTTGTGTTTGGTGGCTTCTTTTGTATATTCAGTATGTGACTACATTTTTTTTCCTCTCTTGAACTTAAGTAAATGCCTGTAATTTTACTTAATAGCAAAAGGAAAACCTGACCTGCTTTGTATTTTTTCTTTGTTTGTAGAGATAAATATGATAGATATTCTTACTACGCCATCAATGGCAAAGCCGAAACAAGACTACTCGCGTACTCCAGGACAATTGTTGTCTCTCATCAGTTCTCTGGGTTTTGTAAGCAATTTTCACTGTCTTTGAAGTACTTAATTCTTTTAGCTTACTTACTATCTTAAATGTAATAATAGGAGCGCTAAGGCTATTCTTGCACCTCTTCTGCCAGCTGGTAGAATGACTTGCTACATGTTTCCAGCACCTTGAAGTTGTGAAGCGATTACCTCAGGCTATATTTCAAATAGCTGAATATCAGTTGTGCTTCAAAAAGTTTGGTAAATGGGTATGGCTAGGTGCCAATGCAAATGTAATAAAGAATATGTGAAGTTACACTATCAATCCTGGGTGTTTTGTTCAGGCTTCATTAACTTTGAACTATGCTTCTTCCTGCTTGATAGTATACTCCTGTTGGAATGAAAATGCCAGAGTACAATTCAAGTCAATCATCTGATAGTCTGCATGGAGTGGTTTCTCCCTTACCTATGGTCCAAAAGGAAAATACCCCTCTCTCGACTAAATTATTCAAAACATGTGAGTATACCAAGCCTTGTACTGACTAATACTCTGACTCTGAGGTTGTGGTCTTTTAATTTTATGTGAGTAGCTTAGACCCACGATAGAAGATGTGTTTCTATCGGTGTCTTGCTGTCTGCCATTCGTTACTTAAGGACTGTCACATTTTTCACTTATACTGCTTATGTCATATTTTGATTTTTTTTTTTTTTTTACATGCACAACCACTGAATTCAAAATCACTTGAAGATTTTACAGAAATAGTGCCAGTTCTTGGCATACTTTCACTGAAAATTATTTAATATAGTAATGTGTGCTTTCATTTAAATTATCTCGCTGCTTACTTATTTCCAACCTGAAATGAGAAAGGCAGCTGCTATGGTGCTAATGTTCTGATTGCTTTTAAATTCTTGGCATGTTCCCACTTCAAAAAATGAATGACTTGACTATGCAGGAAAGATGAAGAGAAATTATGATGTCATGCATAACTTTCCAGAACTTCCTTTGATGTGAAAGCTTGACATAGTGTGAAGCAGGTTAATATATGTTGCCTATTTGTACCAACATTTGATGTCTTTTTCCTCTCAAGATCTTGATACTTCTCCATTAACTCCTGTGATGCCAGTGAGAAGTTTAACTCCTACTCTACTTCAGTCAAGAAAAAGGTTTGATACATACAGCATCAGTAGTCTGTCGCATGCAAACCTTTCCAGTATGGAATCAGAATGCTTCATGAGCCCCAGGTGGGAGAAGGATGTAGAGGTCAGGACTGTTTTATCTTCCCACTATAAATTAAAATTAGCTTGTATTTTTCTATGCACTGTTGCAGATCTTCTCTACTTACACAGTTATTTCAAGTGTAGAGAATCCTTCCTATGGGAGAAGGAGCAGGGGTTGTAATCCTTGCCAAGTAGGAGTTTTGGATGAAACTAGTATTTTTCTTCAAGCAAGTAAGTCCTGTGCAACATGACAGGAAAAGCAAATGCTATTTAGCCTGCAGCAAAGGAGTGAAAGGGAAGGCTTCTATTGGATGACACTGGTGTAGCCCTATACCTCAAAAGGTGGGCAGTGCTGGGAGTACTGGCTCTTTTGGAAACTAACCTTGTCTCTGTAGTTTTATCAGTTCAGCATACAGACAAAAGAATTTCTTTAAAAGGCAGAACTTGGAGAAAATAATAAAATACACTTCAAACTTCTACTAGCTATTAAAACTTGAAAATGTTTAAGAATTTTATTACTGAAGGGTTTTGTATCAACTAATACCAGTAAGTATAGCTGATACAAAATACTTTCTCCTATTTTAAACTGTTAATAAAATTCTGTACAAATACAGACCTAAAAGAAAATGCTGCTGTGTTTAGTCCCTTGTCATGATTCCTATTTAGATCACACACAAAACCTTATGTTTAAAACAATTTATAATTCTTTGTTTTATCTGTCCATTTCCAAAGGCCTTATTTTAGTATTGCGTTACCAAAATAGTAGTAATACCATATTTATCTTTTGTCATCTCCAAAGTATAATAATGCCACAGGGCAGTACGATGAGGTTCTTTAGTTCGGGGTTTCTTGGAAACTCAGAGGTTCTGTAGCTTAACTTCTTACCATAAAGTCACAAATACAGCTTTAATTGCTATATTTATTCATCCTTAGGCATTTAAAAATACTGCATTTTCTATTGTATTCTAGTAATCTTATTTTATGCTCTTAAAAGTCAAATTATCCCTAATCTAGTTTTGATTTTTTTAATGTATTATGTTAGTTTGTCACTACTTGTGGTTATGAAGAATAAATAATGCTTGCCGATTTGAAGTTATTTATGGAAGTGGAAACAAGGTATTTCTATAATACTGTAATCCTGTTTTTCTTGATACTCAAAACTTAATGTGCTTATTTGCAGCAAAGTGAAGATGAACACTATTCTACAACAGGCAGAACAAGTAACAGTGAATCAGCTACCCTTTCCAATGTAGAACTAGTGAATAACAAAGGTATTAAAGTTTTAAAGAAGAAAGAAATGGCAGACTCCAGTTCTCCAATCAGCAGCAATGCCTCTGGCAGTAGGCAGAAGTTGGGAAGTGAACCTTCTGATATAGTAGATACACCTGTGACCACACTGGATGTGAAAGGCATAGTCAGAAAATGTCTTTCTGAAAATAAAGTTTGGGAAGAAAACCCCCTTGTGAATAAAGGAGATATGACTAATGAAACAGCAGAAACTTTCAATCAACAACAGTCACCTTCAAGACAGAATGAGTCTGTCAAGCCTATCGAAGAGGAAGAAGTTTTTGAAAAGCCAGGTGTAAAAAGAAGCTTTGAATTAGTTGACACTAGTCCTTGTCAGGAACTTAACTATGTTAAAAAAAGCAATGCAGAATATAAACGTGGCTGTCGGATCTCAGAATTTCCAGCAAATGAAAGGACAGGTTTGACAACAGAAATTCAGTCCTTAATGCTTTGTAATAATGGATGCCCACGCGACACCTGCAAAAGCAAGGAAGAAGCTAAGAGTTTTATTGGCAACCAGCAACCAGTAGAAAAATTGCTTAATTCAATTATAACCAAAAATCTTATGTGTGATCTGGATGCAGACTATGAAAAGGATGATAAAAAGGAGTATGTGAACTCAAGTTTTTTAGGCACTGACAATGAAAAACCTTTAGGAATCCTCAGTGCAGATTCGGACTTATCATTTCCTGACGTGTCTGTTAAAGAAAGCCATTTAGAAAAGCAGCTTTTAGATTTGGACAAGAGTGTTAAAGACCTCTCCTTTGAGGAACCAAAACCAGAAAACATGCTGATAACATCACCAGAGTCCGGAGATGCCCCTCAAAATGGAGAGGAAGCACATACTGTCCAGGACTGCAAGCCACCTGGTTTGAAGGAAAAGGATCATGACCAAAAACACATGAAAGAGACTTATCTCGACATAGGATCTCCCTCAGAAAAGATGGTGGAAGCACTGAATCTCATTAAAAAAAATGCTGTTGTTTTTCGAAGTTATAATAGTCCAATTAATATATCCAATGTATCCGAGCCATGTAGCATGGCTTCCTTGGATATAATGGATCTTTCACCTGCTTGTAGTGGCTCTTACCCAACAGCTATTACTCCATTACAGAAAGGAAGACCGTATAGGGTCTATCAGGTATGTTAGGAGACATGCAGAAACTTTGTGCATGCCTTAGACATTAGTGATCTGAAGTTATTTCATTTCAGTTGTTAATTTAGAGGAAAATTGGAGTTCAAGGTAGTCTGTGAAAGTGACCTTTGCTGACAGGCTTTAATTTACTGTACTTGTGTGGCCAAAATTATAATTTCTGTAAGTGTTTAGCAATAACTATATGTCCACTGGTTTACCTCTGGTTCAACATGAATTGTCTGTCCATCTCTGAGAAACCCTTTGCTCTTATGGTGAACTGGTAAAGAAAGCCTGTGCTATTTTGTCTTGCGCTACTTTTAGTGCAGTATGGTACTTCCTGTGAGTAATTATAGGTTTCCTCATGTAATGGGAAGTGGGGTTTTTTTTGTAATCCTGCATCCCTCCCAAGATGGTCTGCAAATGCTCTTCAGCTGCTAGTAACTGCTATTATGCCTGTTATTTTCTTTTTTTCATCCTGGTAAAAGGAATGGTATAATGTGTAGTGTCAAGTACCAATTACAAGCCTACTGCAAAGATTGATGGAAAGAGTAATAGCTGCTTGTGGAGTATAAAGCTTTTGATTTGAACTTTTTAATCCTTCTGATAGTAAGTAAAAATCTTATTGTTCTAAAGTAAATTAGAGCCCTGATGTGGGGAAAGTAAAAGTATACTTTTCAGTCAGTGTTTACTGTTTTGTTCTGGCACAGCTTTACAAGACCTTTATCCAGTTACTTAGGTTCTAGTTGCAGGATTTGAAGCTTTCAGACAGAACTGGTGGTGTGTTGAATAATTTGGTGTACCAAAAGGGGACATTCAAAATGTCATTTTTGGGAAGGCCTCTCTTCTGATGTATTTGTCTGAATTGCTAGCTTCTGTTTCATCTACGTAAAATTTTAATTGACTAGGAAATTTAGCTTGTATTCAGCTGAAATGGAGTCAAAATAGTATATACTTCATCTTCTGAGAAATAAATGACCGTATGCATTACATGTTTTTGTAATTTAGATTTGCACAGGAGGGTACCTTTTTCATACTTTTGTGATTCTTTTTAAAATCACAGCACTGTGCCCTGGTTACCCGATTTCTATTTTGATAGTGGATTCTGTAGCCTTTATGGCATAGTGATAACGAATTGATCTCTGCTGCACTGAAGATGAAGTTGGAAGTGAAATTATACAACATATATAGGAATTAAGGGTATATTGAAAAATAAAGAATGAGTGTCTACAAGATAATTTAGTAGTATCTTCAGGTCAAAACAGGAAGTCTTGCATTGCAGTCAGCCTATTGACTATGAGAATTTATTGATCTCTTTGCAAGCCTGCATATTTTATCTTCAAATAATGTCCCAAATTACTTTCAGAATGTTTGTGTAGCTGCAGACAGTCCCTAAGTCTAACTTGAGTAGAACTTCATCTGCAGGCATGATGCAGGTTAAACAATAAAGGGCTTGTTTAGTATATTTTGAATGTATCTGGTATGCAATATGTAAGTAAATTCAGGATTCTCCTTTTTATTTTACAGGTATTTGACATTGGCTAATATTGGCTTTTCATTGGCTAATATTAAGAACTTGGTGCTAAAATCGAAGTGTATTTTGACATTCTGTTTAGTGGGTTATCTTCAGATTTGCATTTGAAAGGGGAGTTTAAGATTGAGGGTTTTTTTGAGAAGTTACTTGTGGATTTGACACTGGAGGAAGAACTTGAAGAAAAGTCTCAAAGGCTAGGCATCAATTAACTTTTTTATTAAGTTATTTCAAGATGGTTGAGATAAATGGAAGCACATTTGACATACTTTTTCAGGGAATGTACATTCTGTGACATGTTCTGGACTTGAACTTAAGTATCAACTGTTATACCCATTACTAAACATGGAGATAGGAGTTTCTCTGGGGTTTTTGACATCTGAAATCTTTGTTGCATCTTTTAAGACACCTCATCGGGGAGATGCTGGCACACCATATAGGACTCCAAAGAGCGTAAGAAGAGGAGCTGCCCCAGCAGAAGGTGAACGAATCCTAGGGACCCCAGACTACCTGGCACCTGAACTGCTTTTGACAAAGCCTCATGGTAAGATAAACAAACTATGGACTTTGTAAATACTTGAAAGGTGACACATTTACACTTCTAAATGCCTCTAGAGCTCTAAACCCTTAAAGTAATGCAATAGTGAATTCTTTAAAAATACTTGGTGCTTAGCTTCTGCCAACATGGGTGACTGTTTGCTTCAGCTGCTTCTTCCATTTACTTTTTTTTTTTCATGTGACCAGAGGTTTTGACTGTCTAGCATAGCTTTGCCTGCTGCTATTCTAATGCTCTGGAGGTGTGCCTGGTCAGCCTGAGACTTGTGTGGTGTAGGAATCACAACTTGGTCATCCTGAGTGTCCTTAAAGATTCTTGAGGGAGCTGGAGGTGGCAAGTGGAACTTAGTGGAATTTAAAGTGTATTCCATGTTTGTTAGTGTTATGTGCATCCAGGTAAGTTTATAAAGCTGCATTAAAATCAGTTTTGAGTTGAGTAACTTCATGAAACAAGATTTCTGGTAGGATCTTCCATATAAGTGTACAGTAGTAACCATCAAATATTTTTCTGCAAGGTAGTATAAGAAAATAACTGAAGTGCATAGATTTCTTTGGCTCAATCCTGAGCTCCACTGAAATTAACAAGTCTGAAATATTTTCCCACTAATTTGCAAGATCCATTAGCAAAAAATAAATGCAATGTATCCCTGATACATTTGTTGTATTTACAATTACATTTTATTTCCATCTCAAAAGTATACTACTATTTTGTAGAGCTAATAGTCTTAGGACAATTGAGATCTTCATTACAAAAGCTATTACTAATCTGTGGAACAGTAAAATTCTGCTGTATGCAGCCAATGTACATTAACTAAAACTGCATGAAACGATAGAACAGTAAGAACTAAAATTATTAAACGTGAGGTTGTTTTGTACTTCCATTTAGAAATCCTGGTTATTTAGCAGTCATTACAACTGGATAATAGTTTAGAAATGCAATCAAGATTACTTAGACAATGTGGAACTTGGTTGCGAGGTCACTTCTGTGCAATTATTGAATGTTTTCAGACTTCAGTGATAACTTGCGGAACCAGGGTTTTATGTCAGGAAATATCAAAGCTCCCATTACCTTCAGTAAAGCCAGAGTTTTCTGGCTTTGGAACTCAAGACTTCCCCTCACTAAATATTTCTAGTGTTATCTTGCTTGTAAATGTAGCTTCAATCCTAAACTATAATGTTGCAAAAATGTTTGTTTCTAACTTAGATTTTGTTGAGTTACTCACACTCGCATGCACTCTCTCTCCTGTGCCTTCAGGGAATCGTACCTGATACTGATTATATTTGTTAGGGGCTTTAGCAGTGCTAATAATTCTTGCTTCATTGTCTTTCATATGCAGGGACTCTGATCTGAGTTTGCTATATACCGTGCAGAAATGGAGTGTTCATCATAACTGTGAACAGTCAAAGTATAACTAGATCACAGATTCCACAAAAGTTTCAGGAAACATCAGTATCACTGGCTAGGCTATCAGAAATCACACATGTAAGCCTGTACTTCAGGAGTAAAGTCAGCATTCTTAAAGATGTTGTGTAACAGGAAATAAACCAGAGACATTTTTTTCTAAATGGTATTTCTGTTTCTTGATTCAAGATGTGATTTAGCAGGGATATGGTAGGAGTTAATCTAATTTTTAGTTAAACTTTGAATAGAAAAAATTGCTGCTGAAACCTGTGTTACTACATTGTTGAGAATTGTGATCTTAATAGACTTTGACTGAAGCTGGGGATATTTTATCCGAACATCTGAGTACCTCTAACAACAGGGGATGTGATCTCACTGCTTTGATAGCTTAGCTTGGTGGGGCACTCTTACTGCTGTTAAAAGTTGCTGAATGTGTGTTAGATTATCAGTTAAACATTTTAGTTTTCAGCATTTTTAAACTTAGTCAATAGTCCTTTTGAAATGGCTCAGAACATTTGTTTTCTGAACTTGGAGGTGTCTTCATGTTGGGTTTTTTATATGCCAAAAACCCCAAGTAGAATTGCACTTCTTTCTAAGATATTTTTGCAGCAAGTGTGGCATCTGTTCTCTCTACAGTGGACTGGGCATGGCTTAAAGATGCAAGAAGCTTAGAATGCATGTAGTGGTGTCTTTGCTTGTTTTAAAGTAGGTTAACCTGGAATGTGGAAAACCAAAATTATTTAATAACAAAGGAGAGATAGTTCATAACTATGTGTTGCTCTAATCAACTTCAGTGTAATGGAAATAATTCCAGCTTTTTGCATACTGGCTCATCTCTGCAAGTTGTCGTCAATATTTTGACATAAATTTAGACAACTGAAAATTAAGTTCAATAGTTTGAATTCTAGGAGTTATCTTAAAAAAATGAAAGATACATGTTACAACATGGAGCACTTATCCAGGCTTCAGAGTAGTTGTAAAAGACAGCTGTTTCTCATCACAAAATAATTTGTTGGAGAAGTCAGCTTCTGGATTCTCTGTGATGGGTGCTGATAATTAGATTGTTCTTAAGAGCCCCCTTGCTTTTATCAGTAAACCTCAGTATTATCTCTAATGAATGAAGAAGCAGACCTGCTTTAAAAAGCCATTTAATATATTTCTAATCTTCCCCATGATTAAGTACAACTTATTTTCTTTCTTCCTGCATTTCCAAGAACTTTTGCAGGATTTAAACACACTTCAATTTCTGCCATGGTTAATCTTTGCAAATATCATTAAACTTTGTGACAGTGTAATGACCTGGATTTCTCTTATCAGGTTCTGCTGTAGACTGGTGGGCCCTTGGAGTTTGTCTGTTTGAGTTTCTAACTGGAATTCCACCTTTTAATGATGAAACACCAACACAGGTCTTCCAAAATATTTTGAAAAGAGGTAAGCTGTTTCAATAATCAGGGAAAATATGCATTTCCAGTGTTTGTTTTATTGTTTGAGTTAACAACTCCTCTGCATCTTTGTAGATATTCCCTGGCCTGAGGGTGAAGAAAAGTTGTCTGATAATGCCCAAAGTGCAATAGATATTCTCCTAACAATTGACAGTACTAATAGAGCTGGACTGAAGGGTTAGTATTAAAATTCTGTTGTGTTCTTTGCAACTGATCAAAAATTTCAAACTGGTGATGTCCTCTTCCTGAAACTTAGACAAGTAAACTTTAGCATCTATTTAGGTTCCATGTATAGTGCCTGAGCACTTAAGTTGTGGAATTTTCTGTATTTCTTGTGGGATTTTTCCCTTTTGAATGAGGAAATGGGGAGGGGGAGGTTTTTTTTTACTGAACTTTTGTTTTAATGTTGCTTTGCTCTGGATGTTTAGTGTTTGCCCTCTGATGTAACAAAGTTGTCTTAGCTAACTCAGAAACAGGTATTTGGGGGTTTTTGACCTAACTGATTTTAGGAACCTTGATTAAAAGCCTATAGTTTGGGAGAGAAGCCTCCTGAAAAAGTTAATTCAAAGGACATTCTTTGTCTTAGGAATCAACCTGTCTTTACTGAATTGTAAACACACAGAGTTAGACAATATATACTATACAAAGTCTATACAATTTTTTCACCCTGTAGAAGGACTTAAACATTTGCTGTTGTAACAGTGACTATATTTTAAATTAAAAAAAGATAAAATCAAGGTATCTTAGGGTGAGAGATCTTGGAAAAAGAGGAGGAAATCTTATGAGAACTGCTCAAGAAGTCACTAGAGAAGGAAATTATTATGGAAATGCCTACTCCTAAAGAGACTAAAGGCTAGAAGCTGAAACCAGACCAAATCAAATTAGAGAAGGCACATGGTTATAAATGAAGATCATTGTCATTGGGGAATTCTGTGGCTCTTTAATGTATCCCAAAAACCATCCGATGCCTTAATTTTGAAGGTGTTTTAGTTAAATGCAAGTTATTGTCTTTATTCCTGGATATTAGGGTGAAATCTAATTGCCTGTCATGCATAGAAATTTAGATGACATAAAGGTTTCTTCTGATCTGAAGTTCTTGGAAATTCATTCTTTGTCAGGACCTTTAACTGTATCTGTCTAGCCAATTTATAGGCCACTGAAATGAAGCTGGATGAGTAGCTTTCAGGACAACCATTGAGTTTTCCTCACTGTAATTGAGTTTCCATCACTGTCTGTCATCTTTTCTTCCCACCTGCAACACATGCTCTGTGTCTTCTCCAGCATGAAGCCTAACTTACTGAGAAGTTCCAGTTATGTCATGTCCTAAGTGCTATGCTTCTATGAGTTCAGTCCCTCCAGATAAGCAAAGCTTTAAAACAGCATTTGGCAGCCAACACTGGTATCCAATGTTGGGGTTTGTATTCTACCCCCCTCTTCAGAGATGTGGGCAGGAGCTGACTGCCAGCTATGGTACACTTTAATAATTTTTTGGAAAAGACAACAAAGTCTGCTCTCCTTTTCAGCTGAAGACAGCTTTCTGTATGGGAGAAATTTAAGAGCAGAACTATATACATTTCTGAGATAGTGTAACTGTTCAGTGTCCTGCATGTATGGCTGCTGAAGCTACTAGAAGTTAGTCTTCTAAGGATTTATTCAATTATTTATTGCATTTTGTCTAAAATAAAAATTGTGTTCTATTATTTGATTAGGAAACATAGAAATGTTAATGTCTTACTGTCAGCTAAAAGCCCGTGGTATGTGCTTAGAATCAAAATTTGTAGTGAGCATTTGTCTTGGTCAAACTTCCACTTCCTTCTAAATGATTTCTACCTGTACTGTTATTTTTTCTACTTGCTTTTGATTTTTGTGGTGCAGGTTTGTATCCCACTCCAGGCAATTTCTTGGATTGAATCAAAGTAGCAAAGTTGCTTTCATCAGAGAGTGGTGTTTCCAGGTTATGCAGAAGACGCATCATATCCTGGGTACCAGGAAGTCACTTGCTCAGAATGGACAGGGCAGGGGAGTTCTCCTTGAGTCATAAATTCTTGCAGCTTCGTTAGTTATCCCACTTCAAACTGGGAATAAGGAGTCTGGTGATTTGTGGTGACAGACTTCTGTGTCTGGTCGTAAGCCAAAGGGGACTGTGCAACGCAGAGGAACACCGCTCCATGAGCGAGCAAAAGGCAGGTGGCCTGCATTTGAGAAGGGTAGGAGGGAGTCCCACATGTCTGCTCGGCCTGGAACTTTGCCAAAACTAGAAATGGACTTTGAAGTGATGCTTAAAACTTCTGTGGTGCCCTATCATGAGAAATGCCCCTAGGGCACCCCTGATCCACTAGGTTTGCTGTGTAAAATAGGTTATCTAGCTGGGGGAAGACAGTTGGCATCACAATAGTTTGATCCCACTGAGGTTGGGGTAATCAAAACCCAATTGCAATTTGCTGTTTTGGGATTCACAAAAGTGCAAAACAGAGGAAATCTACTGCTGGTTATGCATCAAGGGAACAAGGTGTGACTATGGGGCTTGGACAGAAGGAGGTTTATAATGCTTATGACTTCTGTTTCAGAACTGAAGCATCACCCCCTCTTTCATGGTGTGGACTGGGATAATCTGCAGAATCAAACTATGCCGTTTATACCTCAGCCAGATGATGAAACTGATACCTCTTACTTTGAAGCTAGGAATAATGCTCAGCAACTGACTGTGTCTGGATTTAGCTTATAGCATCAAGATAAGTCGACTTTCTCCATGGTTTTGCACACTTCCAGGTAGTCCTACAACACTAGTTTGGTCTTAAGTAAGTTTCCTTGCCAAACTTAGAGTGTGTTCTAAGTTATCGGTCCAGTTTTATTATTCTATCCTTTAAAGTGAAACTACTGTATGAAACTTAGCTGGTATCAAGTGCCTTCATGCTACTTTTATCTCCCTTACTGCACCTTACTAAGAGGCCATAGCATTGTATTTCTTGGAGCTACTAACACCTGGCAATGATGGGGCTTTTCTTACACATTGATATTAACTCCAGTTAGGAGGGGTGAAGTTATTTCCCAGTTAAACATAATAGGAAAAGAACATAAATGCTTGCAAACTGTACCTACTTCTACCTTACCTATTGGTGCGATGGCAGTCTTGTTTAGGAGTAGTCCTTTCTGACCAGTTAGAATATATATTGACTCTGCAAACCTGATGTTTCCATTCAAGGGGGAAAATTGAATCTTCATGCAGCATTGAAATGTCTTCTGTTATCCCAGGAAGAATGAAGAGACAGTGGTGTTCAAAGCTAACTTGGCTAGATGTGCCATGTGAGATTAACAGTAACTCCAGTGGTGGTTTTCCTTTCCTAGACAAATAGGGTAGGGAAGGGATACTCGGGGCAAGCCTGTTTAAACAAATGCTCTATTTAAATTGTTGCATTGTAGCCACTTACCATGTAGGAAGATGGATTGAACAGCCTACATTTTAGCAGTTACTTGTTTTATATAGAAAATGCCAACTATGTGTTTGTGCTCACTCATGTCAGATGATGGAAAACAAAAAATCACCTGAGTGTTAGCTAACAAGTGAAGTGTTATTCATATTGAAGCTGCTATATATTAAACACTATAATGTACTGCAAATTAACAGACTGTTCTGTAAACTCACAACCAGATTTTGGATTTTACTAGAACTTAAGTTATAACTGTACAGTCAGTATTATAAATTCTAATTACGGGAAGTTATATTTAAATCTATTTTTAAACACAACACAACTTGCATCTCCTAGGTTTTAGAGATTTATTTGTAGGTAATTCTGTTTAATATTTTTCTTGCATTGGTATTTATCTTAGCTGACTTACTGAATTCAGACTTTCATTTTCAGGTTTGTAGTTGTTAGCTAAAGATCACTTGTGCCAGATGGTGGTGCCAGCCAGTGGCCACACACCAGAAGCTGAGCATTTTGTGATTTTTTGCCAAATGGCTTTTGAGTCTCATGAACTGAACCTTGCAGGGGGGTGAGTTTTGTCCCTTCATTTCCCCGGTTCCTGGAAGACAAGACTTATTGATGGCAATCTGAGCAAACAGTGTCTACTAGGCTTCCTGCTGTCCCTTCAGGTAGCTGGGAAAGCAATGGGAGTAGTGGCAACAAAGGAGAAGCTTCCTAGCAGGACCAAAAGAGAGCTAATGCTTAACAGCTGTGAATGAGAAATCTCAGCTCTAGGTGTGATAACTCAAACATAGTGAAAGAATCCTGGCAAGCTGCAAAGTGTACTGTGATTCTCACTCATTCCCTTTGCTAAGGACTTAAGTTTTAGAAAACTTATAAATTGTTGAACCTTACTGAAATTAATGTTACATGAAAAGGTGCAGGAGTCAAATGTAAAGCATTACTGAAGGAGTATCCACAGACAATGCTCTCTTGAATATAAATTCTTTAGCATTTTTCCTGTGTATAGTTAAGAGTATATAAACTGGGGGAGTAGAAATACCTTAATTGCTGGTAATTTATGCAATTTATTCTTCCATTTCTAGTAATCTTGTTTAGGAAAACTAGTCTTACAAGAATGAATCTGTTTCATGCTGAGGAAAATGCTTGAAATATGTGTTAGAAAATAATGTAACCTGAACACCACAATGGGTCTTTGTCTTCAGTACTTTGCAAATGGTTACAACCTGTTCCCATTTTGCAGCATGACACATTTCCTTCAAAGTGGAAAAAATTAGTGATATGACTTGTTAAAGATAACCTCTAACACCTTGAAATAATTCTTAATCAGCTGCCAGGGTCAAGTAAGCTTCTATCTAAACTTTTTCTTGACCAATTGCAAAGAACTCTGGAACTGCTTCAAAGTCTTTTAGGTAATCTAATGCTAGTGTAGACAGAGCTAGAGATGGTGGTACACCAAAGCACTAGGCATAAAGAATCCTGTTAAATTAGTGTTTTGTTCTTTTATAAAACCTTCTTATAAAAACCTTTATTCTAAAATAAAATTATAAAACTATGGTAGAAGAACCATAATGTAGTACAAAAACATACACTCTGTAGACAGTAAATGGGCAAAATCAAAAAACTGACAAAGCAGGAGGTTTAATGTAGCCAGCTATCACTGCTGTCTAGAACTGCTGCATTCTGCAGTTAGCACTGATGACTTGCAGTACCCCATTCTCTTTGGTATCTTGCATTTATCCTGATTATAGCAAACATGCAGTTCAATTTAACAAGTTGATTGTCAGTGTGTGTGGTGTGGGTTTGGAGGTAATTTTGTATTTTTATATTTAAAAGGTGAATCCTAGCTTTATTCTTCAACATCAAATTTCTTGTCAATTCAATCTCATTGGTTTTGTCCCACTTAATTGCTTGACTTCAAATACTGCAGGCAAGAGTACAAAAAGCTATCATGTAGTAGCTGAAAGATTTAAAGTTTCTTCTCATCAGTAATCAGCTACAAATATTCATAAAAGCTAGCAAAAGTTTCTGATCCTTAGAAGCTGTGAAATACCACTTGGCAAGTACTCTAGCTAAACTTTATGTGCATGAGCTACATATAAACAGTAGCTTCCAGGTTATCTTGGGAGGGAGCTTATCTGCTGTTAGCTGGACAGAAGTGTGCCAAAAACTAGATTTCAGTAACTGTCATGTTTTCTTAGAAATAAATAGCAGTCTGGGCCAACTATTGCTGCCACTAACTTGCTCTTAGGTTCACCTATACACTGATGGTTGGAGGCCAACACAGTGAACTGCTGCCATGAATTCTTGATCTAGTAGGTTCCAGCTTCAGCATAATCAGGTTTACCTATGGTTATTCTTATAGTAAAATGCATTCTTTTCCACTTTCTGTTCTCAAAAATTTTACTTTGCACAGTTGTATATATTTACACAAAATAAACTACTGCAGTCCTGCTGTTGCTTGCTTCTGCATTTTTTGGTCTCTAAAGTGTCATATTTTTGACACTAGGGTGGTGGGAGGTAGATTTTTTAAACAAAGAAACCCAGACTGTTTCCCCCTACCCCAGCAAAGACAGTGATTATTACCTATAAGATGAAACACAAGCTGACTTGAAATCTGTACAAGTTACAGTGGTTGAGATAACTGGGCCTCAGCTGCTAGGTAGGGCTAAGACTTACAAGTGATGTAGTTTTGTATTCCACCTTCAATGTTGAGACTGCTTTCTTGTAACAGAGCCAGCAGGCAGCTCTTTACTGCCAAAGCATCCACTGTACTGCTCTCACTGAGCATTAAGAAAGTTCACAATAAAATGTAAAGTATTAAGGGATTGATTTATTGAAACATGAATAAATAACAAGGATGGCATACACCTACATTTATTTCAGTGGGAAGTTAACAGTTAAGTACCTTGGAGAATGTCTGTACCCTCTCTAAAAGCTAGACCCCCTCTATGTAACAGGGTCATGAGTCAGTGGAGGAGGCACTGACATCTTCCATCCTGTCAGAAGACATGCTGCTTCAGGAATTGGGTTTTTTCAGTGACCTTCAAGCTAGAATATCCTTCTGGTATAATTATTTCTATCACTTTATGATAAGAAGTCAAACATTCTAAGAACTTTAAGATTCCAGTCACAGCAGATCTTCCCTTCCAGCATAAGTTTTGTTCAAACCTGGGTTTTCAGTACATCTCATGCCAAAGCACACCTATGGCACATGAAACCATCAGATTGTTACAGCAGTCTCCAAAGATCTTTTGATCACTTTATTTTTAATTCAGCTTTACAATAAGAAAATCAGAAGAGGGGAAAAGTAACTCTTAAAAAACCTGCACTTAACTAAAAATAAGACAAAATTGCACCGGTAAAGCAAACATTAAATCCTATGATTACATTTTTATAGAGTAGAGCTTGTATGAAAAATGTTTTCCAAATTTGAAAAGATTTTCAGGAAGGACCAAAAATAACTTTCCTCAAATTATTTCTAATATATAGTCCAGGTATAGAATGAGAGTACATCAACTATATGGTAAAATTTCTGAAGACTCATATCTTAAACACAGATTATATTATGATGTAATTATAACAAATGTATGCCTTTAAAATTAGATTTGACAGAAAATTAAGTGCATTTCCCTCTTCCAGAGATTTAGACAACTTATATCTTAATTTATTTTAAAATTTAAAATTAAGTGTAAAGCATGCTTTAATCAAGCAAACTTCACGAGGTTGTAACTCTATCTGTATATTGGTTAATAAATAATGGGGGGGGAGAGAGGAAACAGCACCAAAATTAGCTGAAAATTTTTAAAACAAAAGGAAGTAGAAGGATAAGAGAAAGAGATACCAGAACTGATATTTTTCATAATGTGACTTAGGAAAAGTCCACAATAGATTAGGGCTAGATTGAATCTTATTTTAATTTGACATAAACTGACAACAGAGAGCTTACAGTGCACAGAGCTTTTTCAATTCTTAGAGATATACTTACAGAGCTAGCTTTCATGTTATTTTAAAGCACCTTGTGCCTAAACTATGTATTTCAGTTAAAACAAGCTGTTTTCAACAAGAATATAATTATCAAAGTCAAAAATATAAGGTGCAGCCTCTTTAGATGGATCCCTTGTACCACACATGGTTTCCAAAGTTGTATTTGACAGTCCCTCTGTTATTAATGGCTCTAACTTTCAAGACATACATCAATTCCTAAATGTCCTTTACAATCTTAAAAGATAAGTGAAGGATTCAACTTCACTTCTGACCAATTTACATGGAAATTTGTCCCACACTCCTTTAGCAGCAAAAATAACCAGTTGAACTCTTCAGAGATATGCTGTATTTTTCTAACAGCTTACAATGTATTGAATTCATATTTTATTAGTGCTTTCCTCTGATAATATATAACCCTGTGGAAAAACAGGCAGAGATGTTGTCACTGTAAAACTATTTCTATATTAAAGTGATAGTTTTACACATTTTCACTTATTCTTTTACAAAGATGATATTCTCTTAATCATCTGACATCAGCAAGACCAGTAATTACTAAAGGCCCATCCACAAGCACATTCCAAAATAATTGATGTTCATAGGGTTTTGAGGATAGAATTATTAATTTTTTTTTTTGTAACCTAGGAGCTGTGAGTCATTCAAGTTTCAGTAATGTTAGTCCTTAAATGTTTAGCTCAAAGGTAGTACAAAATATTACTATAATAGAAGGAACATCATCCCAGATTCTGAGATTCTATGAGAATTCAGAATTCCTTCACTTTCCAGGGCCATCTTCTCCTAGCAGTCTTTAAGCAGAGTCATGAATTTTCAGTTCAGTTTTCTAGAAGAGGAACCAAATAAATTAGTTTAATGTACTTTTCACATATGATTCTTCATTTGTCTAAATAAATCAATTAAGGTTACACATGAATGATTTCTGATCCATTAAAATATAACACTGCTTCAAGACATTTGCAAATCTGCCCTCAAGTTACAAAACAACCTGCAAGTTTACAGAAGACTACAAAAAAATCACTAAGAATTCTGATCTGCAGGTGAAATTCCTCTGAACAGGCCCTGACCACATCAGTCAGTGGTTTGCTTGGCTCACAACAGAGCAGCGCTTATGAGCAGTGACTCCAGAAAATGTGCAGTCAAAATGTTCTAAAACAGTGAGCTGAATCTAAACAACTCTATTATTAAAAATATACATCTGATCTGGTTTCAGAGCCCTTAGGATCCAGGTTTTCAAGCTTTCTTCAGTGAAGGTTCCAATATGAGCACCCAGATTTTCAGCATGAAGTTCCCTAAAAAGGACTAAGATGGGTTAAGAGGCTCAGAAGAAGCCCTAAAGCATTCAGCACACCGTACTTAGCAGGACACTAAGAGTGCGCTGAGCTACACCTTCCCAGGGATGTGAGCTCAACACAAAAGCTGTTGGCCACAGAAGGCCACCTCTCCACCAATTCCATGGAATTTGCTCCACTGTGCAAAAAAGCTGGAGTCATGGCTCCGCAGCTTCACAATGAGAAAACCTCACATGGTAGCACAGACCCCTGGTTTCTGCTCCAGGGCAGTTTATATAGTTGAAAACCAAAAGTACATAGTTATGGTCAGCATACACACTGTGTGGAGCTGTTGCCTAAAAGGTGACACACCTTAACAGAGTACAAGCTGAAACTGGCAATGGGACAACAGAGAAGGACTCATTTCAAAATTCTGTTTTTCTCTCCGAGAGTACTTGATCAACTTCCTACCCACTGCTAAAGGAGATGGAACTCTGGATGGAAAGGTGGTGCAGAAGCAGTTGGTCTTAAATTCTGTCTACAGGTAGATTTCTTCAGAAACCAAGAGGAAAGCTGAAGAACAAAGACATTTCTTTAGTTGTTTCTGTTCTTGAAGTTCGTTTCATTTTAATACAATCCATGAATGAGTAAACAAAACAAGGACTATCTGGGGGCTATACTACCTCTGTCTCATGGAGACGCTGATATTACTGTTAGTAGACTGTGGTACAAATCCTGGTGTCTCCAGAACTCAAAAAGAACTGTGGAACATTCAGGAAAGAGCCACCAGAATCATCTCAAGACTGGAAAACAACTTTAAAATGAGATTCCAGTTCATCCGTTTTATTTAAGCAAGAGATTAAGAGATGACCTGGTGATAGCAATAAAATACCCATGGAAAACACAGCACAGGCTCTTTGTCAAGTAGATAAAGATCTAGGAAAAGACAATGGATGAAAGCTGAAGCTAGACAAATTCAAACTAAAAATAATATACCATTTGTTTATTCATTTAAGCTCTGAATCATTACAACAGTGTATTAGAAAAATTGCTAGAAAGGGTGCTCTGGTTTCTGGTCAGAAACACTGGTTTCTGACTGAACCTGTGAATTGATTGAGGTGCTAGAGAGATCAAAATAAATGTTCAAAAAAGGTTTACAAGAACAGGATACTGTTGAGAGAGAGAACATGGCCATTCAAGAGCTATTAGCTCAACAATACTGAAGTTCACAAGAGCTTCACATAAGATACTAGAAAGACTCTTGATTTTTAAAAACTTTGTCCTTGCAGGTGAAATGGAAATGTCCATTTACGAGTACAGAAAATAAGACAAATGCATGTAACTGCCTAAAAGGCGTAGTAGTGAAATCTCTAGTTTCATCAGATCATGCAAGTAACATCAGTGCTGCTGACAGCACCGAGACAGGGTAACTCCTTGGAAGTCTTGTAGCCTCTGTGGGCATTGTATTGTTTACAATACCACAGGCTGGGCCCAGAGGGTGGTGATCAGTGACTGAAGCCTAGTTGGAGGCTAGTAACGAGCAGTCTGTGCCAGGGGTGCGCACTGGGTCCAGTCCTGTTTAACATCTTTGTTAATGATCTGGATGATGGAGCAGAGCGCACCCTCAGCACGTTTGCTGATGACACAAAACTGGGAAGGGTGGCTGATATGCCAGAGGGTGGTGCTGCCATCCAGAGGGACCTGAACAGGATGGAAAGATGGGCTGTCAGGAACCTCCGGAAGTCCAGCAAGGGCAAGTGCCAAGTCCTGCCCCTGGGGAGGAATAATCCCAGGCACGAGAACATACTGGGATCTACCCTACTGGAAAGCAGCTTGGCAGAAAAGGACCTGAGGGTCCTAGTGGTCACCAAGGGGGAACATGAGCCAGCAACTTTTCGGCAAAGGTGGCCAACGGTATTGTGGGCTGCATCATCCCTCCCAGCAGGATGGGGGAGGTGATCCTTCCCCTCTACTCAGCACTGGAAAGGCCACACCTGGAGTGCTGGGTCCAGTTGTGGGTACAAAAGAGACATGGACATACTGCAGAGACTCCAACGAAGGGCCATGAAAATGATTAATGGACCAGAGCATCTCTCCCATGAGGAGAGATAAGCACTGGCACAAGTTGCCAGGGAGGCTGAGATACTCACAAGCCATCTGGGCATCAGCAACTGGCTCTAGGTGGCCCTGACTGAAGAGGGTGGTTGGACCAGATGGCCTCCAGAGCCCCCTTCTAACCTTAACCAGTCTGTGTTTCCATGATTTACCATATGAGAGAAAACTCTATCATGAAAACCATCAAACATTAAAAAGCTAGAACAATTTAAACTAATTCTAGTAAGAACTACACATATGCAGATTCTCTGCAGACTGACAGGAAAAAACTTTAAAAGTTAAGAGCACAGTAAGCTAACAAACCTCAGGTGTGAGGTTGAACTAAGTAGATAGCAACTAGAGAACATCCACTTGATCTTCTGATGCTTAGAGAGTAAAGGTGAGATGAAAGTACAACTGTGCTTCATCTGAAGGAAGTCAAAGCTACAAAAATATCATAGTAAGGTGCTAGTAAATTTAAATAAGAAACAGGTGCCAGATGGAACTCTGCAAAGGATTTGACAGGAAAACATCTTCTCATGGCACAAGGGGACTAGGGAGTCTAGAAGCAGTGAAAATGGGTTAAGAGAATATTAGGAGTGAGGGGGTCAAAGAATGTCATGGAAACACTTCCAAACTACCCAGCCTCACCCACCCATGTACCATCACTGAAATTATTTAGCCTGCATCACATTTCATGGATTTAACCTAAATTGCCACATATAAAGTCAAACTAACCACTACTTTGTTATGCAGAGAAAATCAAGGCACTCAAGGTCTCTTCCTAGAATTCCTAGCACTCCTACTAGCTTCCTATATTTCCTGTTGTGCATTTGACTTGAGTTCTTGGGACTGAAACACACACCTTCCTATGACAACCATATCAGGGACTCTACAAACTGCTTTACTGTGGTATCTTCAGAGCTACGAGTCACTGGTACATACAATGGAACATTAAGCAAGATGTGTCTTAAAAGAACGAACTCAGGGAAATGGGATTTATCAGAGCAATTATTATCAAGTTCCCCATTTTGATACTGACCTGACATTTCAGACACACTGTCAAAGCCTTACTGAGAGCATATCCTTGCACTCTTCTTATGCATGAAGGCAGTATTTTATGTCCTGTCTAAATAACATAATATACTACATAATGGTTTAAATGGGTTAAATATAGTATACATATGCCCTATTGAATACACATCTTTACCTTCGCTTTCTTTGAAGATACACGTGTACCAACCACTGGGCAATAAATGGCCATACAATAGCAAAAGCTAAAATACCAGGAGAAATTTCAAAGGGCCACCATGATGGTTTCTAAGGAAAACAGAAAAAAATTCTAGTCAGCAATCTCTGCACATATTGAATGCCACATGTATACTTCTCAATTACTTCGAATGCTACAGTATCAAAGTAGAAAATATCAGTAAGACCAGAAAGAAAAAAAAAAAACAAAAACAACACACACTTCTCCAGACAGTTTCTTTTTAATCTCCTAGTCAAGGGAGAGACAATATGAAAAGCGCATACTAAGAGCTAGATATAAAACATTCATCTTTTTCCACCATTCACACTGCTTTTGACAAATAGAATGAACAATTTTACCTTGACAGAGGAAGCGGGCTGATAATTTGACTGCAGTGTTGCAGATTTTGCCTTTAAATACAAACAAAGGCTAGTAAGTATAAAAAAAGAAACCGCAATTAGAATTCACAAAATGAGAACATGAAGTTTTCCATCTTGTGAAAGCTTTGCAATCTGTATATATGACAGTTTAAGGAACAAACCACCCCCATGCAACCCCCCTTTCACCACTGTTTCCAACTTACCTCTCATGTTTCTGTTACTCTTTATAGCATTTTTATCACATCTCTGTGTGTTAAAAAATGAATCCGTGTCACTTACTGGACATCTCTACAGTTTTTCAAGGCCCCCCTGCCCAACTTGTCATCACAACTTCCTCAACTCTAGTCCAGTCCCAGCATTTGCAACCCAGAATAGAAATCCCAGCAGCTTAATTTATATGATTACATGTTTCAGCACTAGTCTACACAAAGGCAGAAAGCACTGTTTTAGTCTGCCCTGACCTACAGCTAGCTACAGGCATGTCTAACAGCATAAACGAAAGAGAATACTCTGTTCCAAATCTTCCATGCAATCCAGAAAATGAGAAGTACCAGAAACTTTTCAAGACTACTCCCATACACTATTGTGTTTCCACAAAAACAAAGCAGTAAGTTTTCTCTGTCTCTCTTAATTTATGTAAGCATGAAACAGAAGCTTCTGTTTCTTTTTAGGTAAGGGTAGCAAGCATAGCATGAACCACTGGGGAAGAATCTTTTATTTCTTCATATATTGCTCAGGCAAAAAGAAGAAAATCAATCTATATCTAAATATCAGATTCTTGAATAGCTCTGACAGAGTGAAACCGTGGTTTTAATAAATCCTTTTCCCTGGCTGCCTTAGATTTGGAATATGTGCATCCCACAGTATACTGCTTGTATAGCTGTCATTCTTAGGTAAATTAAAAAAATATCAGCAAGTCAAACAAAACCAAACATTCTCAGGTTGCTGGTTCAACTATATTCACAGCATATTCTATTCTCCTGAATATACTGTATTGCCACTGAAACAGAAGGAAAAAAACTCACTACAATAAATAGCTACACTTCCTTAAGACTTTTTTTGCCTATCTTGTATATGTGAGGTGAAATTCCAAGCAAGCTGCATTACTTTAAGAGGAAAGAACGCTATGAAGAATCAGTCTTCTGCAAACTGAAAAATGGAATCAGAAATTCTACATGCAAACTTTTACCAGTCTGGAAGTTAAAGATAATTTCTCACTTCCTTTGAAAATGCTTTGAGATCTACTGATGAAGAATTATCTGGGATCATGTATTACTAATATTAACTATGGGATCTCCATATAGTGACTGTGTAATGTGTATCAATAAATACAGCTAAAATTAGTTTGATCAGAAATCAGTAAAATAATATACAGTTAATTTCTACATCAAAATGCATGGTTTTGCTTGCATGTACAAGACTCCTTAATAGTGTTCCTGATAGTAGGTACCAATAAGAAATTTTAAGTTGGAATAAACTACAGAATATAACTGAAATATCTTCACAGTTTAAGAATCTATTGTCCAAAATTTTAATCTGAAAAAAGCATAAAATACACCCTAGGAAATTTAATAAAAAGTAATCAAATTACTTCAATGAATAATACCTGTGATGCTGTAACTGCCTCCAGCATATGCAGCCTCTGAAGGACATTCTGCATGTCTTCTTGCAACCGCATCAGCACTACTGCAATCTGCTCATTGAGACTACCCCTGGGTCCTCTGTCTGATCCCCAGCGCTCTCCATCCCCTCCACTACCCATCTGTCCACCTTGTGAGCCGTCTCCTAGAGGTTGAAGTCTATGCCCTATTTTGAGGGAGAAAAAAGATACATAAACCACAGAATGAGCTACGAACTCTATTGAAAATGTTGGATTTTAACAGTTGGGTTTACTCCCTCCCAAATGGAGTGGGGTACTCCTAATCATAGGCTATATTCAGACAGTTCAAAAGCACCAAGAGGTTACTGCAACATCATCTGAGATGTTTCCCTACAGCCTCAGTGTGACAGTATCATTCAAGGTCCTAGAACTGCATAAACATTTAACAAAAAATTATTTATTAACATCCAGTCAAGTTCAGCAGTAAATTCTGCCCTAGTGAACAGAAAGTAAGATCTGTCTTATTATCAAGGACAGGCGTGTTAAGTTTGACACAGTCTCCATCTGGAAAACAAAGAACACCAGAATATAGTAATGAGAAAAAAATAACTGCTTGAAACCTACAATACTCCTTTAGACCATATACAGCTAGTCTATCATGTTTCTGCCTGAAATAGCAAGTGTTAAGTAAAACTGCAAGAGAAAGAAGCAGACAATTAAACTATAACACGTTCTTCACAACAGTTTTCAATATAAATGTCGTATTTGGATTTTCTTTTTAATTTTTGCATCTCCTTATATATAGGTGCCATAGAAAAAGGCATGCTATATATAAACAGAATACCTTCTGGCCTTTTTTTTAAACGAGAAAAATTAACTTTATCCTTGACTTTACAGACCTTACTACCTACTGGCATAAGCAGCACCTACTTCTAATACGTATTAGAAGTATTACGGAATTAAAAAGAGCTAAGGTCCAACAGAAATTGAACATCTGGACTATTATGTGATTAAGAATCATTAAGAATCATAACAGATAGTATCAGAATCACTCAAGGTGTGGCTAACACTCCTATTATATAGAAAACAATGCGTCACTGATACCTTTCCAAGATGTTCCATGGTTTCAAGAAAGACACCACAGAGTTATAAATGTGTATGCATTTAAAAATAAATATGTAACTTGTAAATAAAAATTCTTCTCACACACAGACAGGTTTTGAAGTTTACATTTCTAAAAAGACAGGTGCCATAAACAGCAGCTGGAGTTTAAGGTAAGCCAAAACAGAAGAATCCAACACGCTTAATACAAGATCTCCATAGCACAAGCAAATCCTTTTGTAATACTTATGAATGAAATAAATACTCTGAAGACAAAACTGATTGCTACCAACTGTAATTAGGATTTTGTTATCTATTTCTATTGTGAAGGACAGAAGTACCACATAGCATGACTACCTTACTAAACAATGTTGACAAGTGCTTCTCAATAACTTATGGCAGTCAGGAGAGTGGGGAACACAAAAGCAGTGTCCACAGTACCTCTCCCTCTTCTGAAACTGTAGAAATCTGCTTTTTCTCCACCTTTCTTCTCCTTGTGAGGGCCCCCATTACTGGCTTTGCCATCTTCTCCACCACACTTGACTTCGCCTTGTTCTTGAGCTGCTTCGTCTACAGTATTTCCAGGTTGGAGACTCCCATAAGTCATACAAACGTGCCTTGGAAAATCCGTATTTTCTAACAAAAGACTGTGATCTACATCCAAGAAAGGGGATGAATGCTTTAAAGATCCTTTAGATGATGTGATGATCTCCAAGGGCTACAAATTAACATTAGCAAGTAATTAAATTCTGTAAAATATGACAGTTAACCAATAAAAAGGAAGAAGCATCAGCTCTACTTTAAGTAAATAGTTTGCCCAGAATTAAGATTTTTCTTTTAACAGGAGCAGTTGTTTACCTGCAGAATGTGCTTACTACTGTCTAAATGTCCCTTTTAGACTGATAAGGCATTGGAAGCAAATATTCTCAAAACAGTAATACCACTTGGAATTACTTTAGACATTTCCAACATATCAGTAACCACTAATATAGAACATTAATATCTGAAAATACTCAGTTTTCCCTTGTAAAACTGCTTTGCTTCCTAGACAGTGAAGTGGTATCCTGACTTGGATTCATGAGACATGTTGTCAAGAGTCACATGCTATTAGCAACCCTGAGTAGGCAGTGTTTACACTCATGGCAAAGAGATCACATTGCTTATTATGATCCTGTTCAAAACAGCTTGGCTGCACCCTGTACCTCCCACTAAACAAAAGGCAGGCATAGTATTCTATCAAATTCTCACTCAAAAACAGTGGTACTGCAGGTAGATATTAAAAATGAATGACGTGTTGTTCATGTCACAATTACATGTTAATAGGACTGCCTTAAGGTGGTTCGAGCAACCCTTTGTCAGTGCAAGGACAAGCACTTGCACACCTATACGCTGAAGCAGACTGAGGACCTCAGCTAGCTGAAAAAGAACTCCATGAAAAAGCCAAAATAACCAAAAGGAGGGGCAAAGAAACTGCTGCCAAAACCCCATCTGTCAAATAGCAGTTCATAAACATGTATCAGCAGAACTGAAGGACAGTGTTTGCTACATCTTTTCCAATAAACAGCTGTAATTCAGTTATTTAAATGAACCTCTTCTAGTTTGAACTGATCCATCTGTAGTTGTATATTTATTTACATATACCTGAACATTTGTTATTTTGTTCAAAATTAGAACTTTTCTCATGCAGGTTGGAAATTCTGACAAATTATTGACCACTTCAATTAAAGAATCTCAAAACAAGCTCAAACAACACACAGGATAATTGGGAAACACCTAGCTAAGAGAGCTTGCATGACTTTACCAAATCACCTTTCCAAACATGCTTCATTACTGGGTAAAACTTTGATTTGTTAAAAGAAATTCTCTAGATCCTCAGGAAACAGCTGGACAAGAGAATGATGCAATATTAGAGTGCTTACTGGTCTTTCTGATCCCATGCATCATTCCTATATTCCTCCTCAGAATCAGAAAACTAGGTGTTTGAGTACAAGCTACAAAGTCCACACTTAAACTGGACTCTGAAAGAGGTCCAATCCAGTAAGTCAGCTAAGACTAGTTAATACAATGAACAGGAGCTCAAACTTAGTCAAGATTAAGCCTGTACAGTTGGTGCCCACCTTTCATATGAAAGTCAGAGATGTACATCACAGCTGAAGAGAGCACAAGAGAACCCAGAAATCACTGTCATCTCCCACTTCTTTAGACCTAGGCCACTTTCAGGCACTGGCCTACAGGCCACCTGCTAAGGCTTACTCTTTATTCTAAGAGACAAATTCAGGATTCATCAGGCCAGAAAAAGAGCATGCAAAAAGCTCATTGCTACAAAGACACTCCCTGCTTAAAGGTAACTGGATTCTGGTCCCCACATATGAGACCCTAAATTCATTTGTGGACTCAGCTGTTAGTTTCTCTGCACTGTTGTTTTTGACAGTAGTTTCTTTGTAGTCTTGATTTTGATACCTTCCCCTCACATAACTTTTCTGAGGGAAAAGATTTCAAGGCTTTCAGATGAGTAGTAACTAAGCTGTAAAAGACTGACAATAAAAAGAATGAAAATCAATAGTCCAAACAGGAGAAAGTTATGCATGAGCTAACTTCATTCAGCTCTGCATGTCCAGGTTCACCTGACAGATAGGAACCTATTTAAAAATGAGCATACCAGTTTCAAAATACACCTAGGAATACTAAGCCCCTACCTCTTCTAGTCCAAGCTGCTCCATAGAGTCACAATAAACTTCACTGTCTGAATCACTGGTTAAGTGCTGCGCTGCTGAGACCTCTTCAGTATTCTCTTCGTTTGCACCTGTACAGAAAGGAGATACACACACATGCTTTGTAAACGTGAGCCAATCCTGCCAAAGAGTAAAGCAATGAGTTAAAATGTCTAGGTGAGCTTCAACTCATACTCCCTTTATCTACAACTGTCTTCCTAAAGCTAGATTCTGTATAAAGAAGTTGTATTAGGAATTAGATAAAACTTTTAATAATGGGAAAACTGTAACTCATAGTGGCATTTCTGCATTATAAGTTGATAAATTTTCCTTGTTCATTCCACTCTCCTTCCCAAGCTCAGTATAAAGCAGTTTTGCCTAAATTATCTGTTAGTTTTAAAATTATATATTTAGACATCAGTTTCAACAAACTGGCATTTATAATCTTTTCAGCCTTTGAGAATAACAAATAAGAAATTAGTGATTTTAATTTCACTACAAGTTAGCTTTCAAAGGCAAATAATATATGCATATGCAGTATAATGATTTTAAAAGAAAACAATTGTATTTCTGTGGCTTTGGGCCTCTTTCTCAATTCATCTCTCTTTCTGTGGGAGATCCTAGAAGAAAGCCTTATTTTAAACTGATATTAAATTTGAATTTTTGGGGAGTATTCTTTTTTCAGGTTTCTAGAACTGAAAGACACTATTGCTAGTCTCTGAATCCCAGGATTAAGCTTTCAAGAAAGTAGTATTTTCCATGAAAAACATGTGCAAATGAAAGCACGGTCTTGCAAGACCAGTACCTTGGTGAGCACTGTTATTAGCTATTTCTAGGCTTGTCTCCATTTTCTTTATTTCTTCCTCCCGGTTCAAGCCATTCAGGGCAGATTTGGTCTGGATGCCATTCTGCATATCTGGGATAAAGCTGTCCTTGTAACAGCCATTAGTAACAATACTTTCCAAATCCTTAGCAACTTCTGATTCTGATTTCACATTCTTATAGTCTGTAAAAGAACAAGAAAACCTTGCAAATAGAAAGCTACACACCTAATAGCTCAAAACATATTTCTTCAAGTAGATAACTTTCTAATGGACTGTATGTATAATGGATCTGCAGAACAAAAGATATAAATGCTTCTAGATTCACATTTGCAGGGATTGTTCTGTTCTTGTAAAAAGTGTAAATATAAAATTTAATTTGCATAAAGAGAAGATAATATTTAAAACATAAATAAGCAAATCCAAAGCAGGTCTCTGATAAATTACATAATAATCCTAATGTTCTTGAAGGAAAAAAACCTGTATAGAATTCTAAATATGTAATTTCATTTGGTTTTCACTTGATGCTCTTATTTCTCAAAACTCTTCATGGACCCCCTAAATGAAAAACTCACTGAAAGTTCTATTTTCTCTGAGAAAAAAAAAAAAAAAAAAGTGATTTTCAATTCTACTGCTACAGCCAACGTAGCCATTCACAGCTCTTATAAACAGCACTGGCAACAAAACCCAAAACAATACAGAGTGCAGACTTTTAGCTAACCTACTGACAGAACTTTCTATCCAAGTCAAAAATTGTATGGCACAGTTCACAAATTTGTACTTGTTCTATCTAGATCTTATAACACAGGTTGACATACTGCCACTTTCATGTATTTGTATTTAATTCTCCTGAAGAAGTACAGAATTCATGATCCTTTGGAATTTTCTGCCACTTAGGTGGTTAAGAACAACTTTGGAAGAGACGGTGGTCCAAGAGCAGAAAACATACCCTTTCCATTCAGCTGCAGTTCTTTTTCTTCTTCTTCATGAAGCCCTTCCTCTTCTGATTCTGCACCACTATCACTACTTTCAGCTTTTCCATTCACAGCTTTTATATTTGAAGTAGAATTCATGACATTACTAAGGTCTAAGAAAAAAATTCACAGAGGAAAAAAAGATGTATTTTAGAAGAAACAAACATACACACCACCCACCCCCCAACTATTAGTCATAGTTCTACAAAAGTATTTTCATATTAACAAGATGTATCAAGTAATACCAGTTTTATTTCGGTAAGCTCTTCCTTGATTGGTTTAATGTTTCTCTTTTGTGGCTCACCACAGAGTGCCTGACTGGTGAAGAGATTCTCAATGATTCTGAGGAAGCTGACTAGAAAGAGACAGCAGGCCACTTTCACTACTGAGTCTCAAACTAAAACTATTACTGATATTTATGGTATAGCTGCAGTAACATTGTATCTAGGATCAATGTGGCCATGTTATTTTAAACCCAGAAGTCGGCATTTTTCCAGAAGTCGGCATTTTTATAGAAGTTCCCTTTTGGGCCGAAATGCTTCAAAATTGCTCTCAACAAAAAGGCAAATTTTAAAACATTCTATTCAATTATGTGAGCAACAGGATTCTCACATAGGAAGGTAAATGCAATATTCCATGCACCTTCTCCTGCAGTGATTTAAGCAGATGCAAAGTGTGGTAAGAAGACTCAAGTTTATACAGATCTTTATCTGGTAAAGGTCATACAGAAATAAATTCTCTGATTTCAGTGAAAAAGATGATGAAATAAACACACTGAGCATTTCTTTGCATGTCTAATTCAAGATTATTTTTTTTAAATTATGTAAATAGACAAAGTATCTGCTAAATCCTTACTTTCCACATCTTTGATCACTCCAAGGATCACAATTTACTCTGACTGTACAAAAGAACTGCAAGGTAAAGATTCTTTAAAAATGTGGAGAATTTATGGGACAATTCTACCACTTCCTGTAAAACAGATACAGTTAAATACATTCTGAAGATCACTTAAGCCTCCTATACACAGTAATTAAGGTACAAAGAGGGGACAGTTTCTGTGAGACACTTGCACATTTTACATGTTGAATCCAAGGCTGAAGTCTGTCTGTTTTAATTGTCACCACAGCATTCTATTTGCATAATTTCTATGTTCCCTTGTCAGAACCTTGGAAGATTAATTCTTAAATTTAGGCTTAATATTAAACAGCAAAATAATATCCAATTATACTGAAGTTGCCAAACCAGATCCACTACTTTCTTCACTGTGTGGTAATTTAGAGCTAAGTGTTTTCTACTTTAATCTTACAATAAAGAGCCTTCCCACATTCCTCTATTTTCAGAGCTTATCCATAGTGCTTAAAAAAAGAAAAAAAAAGCAAAATAACTTAATTTCTTGTATAGAAATAATATGTTAAATATCCTTTACCTTAGTTTTATGCAAGGTAAGGTTTCTGCAGCACCCTGCATCACTGTTTTGGATTGATTTAATCCAACCTTTTCTATGAAGATTAAAGAAAACCCCATTTGATTGTAAAAAGAGAACTGGAAAAGCTATTGCCTGTCTTGCAGACTACAAGAATGTAAGTGATCACATGCTCATTTTCTCCTCACTGAAGAACACTTATTTGCAAGGAAATTTGTTTCACAAAAGAAAAAATCCCAACATATTTCCGGTTTATTTCTCATACACATTTCATTTATTGTGAAACCCAATTCTCAAGATGTTTTTTCTGAGAAGCAGCAGTGTGAGAAGAATAAGGTAGCAGTTAAATCCTCACAGCTTGATCATCAAGCACAGACACAGCTCTCTTGGCATGGTAAGGCAGGCATCACCCTTCCCTTTGAAACAAAAAGGGAGTGGGGGCACAATCATCCATGTGTCCTACCCAGTCGTGGGAGTAAACAGGAAAGACAAGACCAGGAGGAGCATTTAGCTGTGAAAGAAGGGAAAATAAAATGTAAAGCTCCTCACCTTAACAAAGATACTGTAAAAAAACCCTGGCTATAGCATAAGCATTTTCCTTAAGATAAACTTTTTGAGGTGAAGGTCTTTGAATATTCAAGCATCTTCTCTCAGTTTCAGTAAGGTTATTCATTTGGTGAAACTTAAGTGATATATCACATATTTAAATAAAGAGATGGAACTGAGAGAAAGTATAAACAGTAACAGATCTGTGGTATCATGCCACAGGACACCTGAATAACTGAAATCCATCAGGATTGTATTTCTTCCACAGTCGTTCTTCGCAACAGTGCTCCTGAAGACCATAACGAGGCATTGCTTTGATGCCGACTCTGAAGAACACAGCACTATAGTTTTGGCTGCTTGAAATATTGTGCTTAATTGTACACTCTTCCTCAGAACCCTTACACTGCTATCTTCAGGTCCATTCCCAAATGCTTTTACATGATAAAACCACGGTTTGCTGCTGTCCTTGTTACTCTGAGTAACTGCTAAGAAACCAGCAATGATGACTAATACTGGGGGCGATAAGGTTAAAGACTAAACAGAGCCAACTAGTAGTGACTTCTACAGTCCCTGTTGGTAGGTTACTTCCTGAGAAATTAGGTATTTTTTTATTTTATTATTATTATTATTATTATTATTATTATTATTATTATTATAGTCAAGCAAGCTTTTAAAACCTTATTTGCTTTGTGCTAATCCCATCCACCCACCCCCATCCCTTTATTCTTTCTGTTTACCCACTTCAACTACAGGCAAAAAGTTAGTAGCTTTTTTCTCTGTTTTCCTCATTTAGATACTAGAGAACCCCTCTTGGTTTATTATTTTCATCTCACTACCTACAACACCAAACTGTGAGATTTGTGACAGAGCTTTCTAAATCAAAGCTGTACTGCTCTGTAGCTGTACAAGGAGTTATATTCTACTGTAAAAGCCTGGATCGTTTTTTTTTTTTTTTTTTTTAATGCTGTATAGTAAGAGCTGTGTAACAGTAAAACATGCAAACATAAGGAAGAAGGATTTAACATAAGACAATAGCAAGATGAAAAGGATGGAAACAGACACAAAGCCCCTCTACAAGCTTTCAGTAGATGTTTAGTTTCTTGTGTCAGCTCTATTAAGACATTTCCTAAGAGCAATTCTAAATATATTTTTTTTAAGCAGCACTGCAGTTCTTCTCAATGACCTATATAACAGAGGCAAGTTTCTCAAAAATATGTATCCAATTTCTAACTCTGCACATATTTCAAGGCATTTTTGTTACCCAGATGGGAGTTAGAAGCTTACATGCCTCTGTGGACCTGCCCCAGCTCAAGGGTCATTTTACAAATAAAACCTCACCTAGCAGGTTTTTCTCAAATACCTCGTATTTTTGATTTCCTGAACAGGCACATAATTCTTATACAAGATTAACAGGCACTGCTGGAGCTATACTGATGGTTGGCTCAGCACAACACAGTATCCTCACACAAGTCCTACAGCCTCTCATTCTTTGCAAATACCAGCAATCAGTAAACAGTCTGCAACAGCAGGTGAAACACATCATAAAACATTTCACTAGCTGTGTATGCCCTCATCATTTAATAAAGATTATGTGCTTTTGTAAAGTACCATAACTTTACTATCTGCTCAACAGCAGCAAAATCTTAGCCACCAAAAGACTGTATCATCTTATATAGGGATCTCTTTGCACTCCTACATTTAAGTAGACTCAAGCTCTGTCAATTTTTTTAAGTCTGAGACCTATATGCTGTACAAAATTGTTTTGATAATCAGGTAACTAGAAATCTTTTCTTGCCATCACAGCCTGGTTTCATGTTTGTTACCAATCCAAGTAGGCTCCCTGCTTCAATTCCAAGTTTATGCAACCATGTTCTACTATTTCCAATACACCTAGTTGCACAAATCTCCACCTCCTTTTTGAAACTGATGTATCCCAAGGAGTTCACTGCAAGGAGTGATTGCAGTGAGAAAGGAGGGGTACATGCAAGCATCTGGTATCAATAAGCTCTTCAGCTAGAGCAACCATTTCTATACCCTCATTTCCTTCCATTCTTTTTAATATAGTACACTACAAAGAAAACTTCCAGGGGCCCAGCCTGCTCTGTAACATCTGTTCTACAGTACTCAAATGAGCTGCCATCACAAATAAAAAGATATTTTAGAAAAGTCTGTCAAAAATAGAGACAGAATAATATAAAATTCCTTACTTTACTACTGGTTTATCACTTTTAATTTTAAGCGCATTAAGTGTAAGTTCTCTGAAAAATTTATTCCCTAAGCACACAGAGACTGGCAGCCAGGTCTTCCTCTACAGTTTTCCTTTTTTTATTGTCTTATTGTTTAGTCTTCCTAAACAGAGAAAAAGAAGCCTCTTTTTTTCTTTTAATATACTCCAGAAGACTACAGTCTTGTTTTCCCAGCACTCCTCTCTGCTCATGCACTTTTCAAGCTGTTACACTCAAAGAGATGTCACCGTATTTCAAAACCCGATTTAATCAACAATATCCATGTCTTTACCATTTATAAACATCAAAACAATAGTCTGTGGGTAAGAATGAACACAGACAATAGCAGCTTCTTAGACATTTATATTAACTTGCAAGTATGGTATTCAAGACTACTGACTAGTCATCCTGGACCTTTACACTTCTCAGTATCTATAGTTTCTCACCTCCTTCCATACCATCAGTAGCAGTCCCCCTTGAATTTTCAGCATACTTTACAAATAAACAAGGTTTTGGGTCGACTTAAATATATTTCCCTCCTCCCTGTCATTCCCAGCCTTCTGCCAGTAGACAACCTGCCTGGGATTTCCTGAGAGCGCAGCCCAGGGAGAACAGCAGCTGCCCCACAGACATTCCCAGCATTGGCAGGTAGTTCCACAAAGGCCACGGGATATCCAGAGTACAGGGCCACCAAGCACATGCAGCTCAGTTACATGGTGCATGTGCAGCAGGACCAGTGGAGCCAGTTTGCCAACCTACTGTCAACACCTTAGCCAACAATCACACGTGAGAATGAATACGAAGAATAGCTGCTTCTTAGATATTATACAGTAACCTGCAAGAAAAGTAAGATGATTCCAGGATCAAGGGTGTCCCTATGTCTGGTACTACTTCCCTCTTGGAGAATGAGCAAGACTTG